ACCAGAGGAGAGGAGGGTGGGGGGTAATGGGGAAAATAAGGGGAAGGGTCAAGTCAAGGAACATGTATAAAGGACCCATGGACTAAGCCAAAGTGGGGAAGGATCGAGAGTGGGAGGTAGGGGTGGGTAGGGCGGGGGAAAGTGGTGGCAGGAAAATGGAGACAAATGTATTTGAACAATAAAAAAAAAAGGAAAAAGGAAAAAAAATAAATTTCTGGGAGTCCGACTTTGGTCAATGAAGAACTCACAAAGACCAATGCCCCATTGTGGGTACTTGTCTGGGAAGCCATCCTTCTCCAAGCAATCCCCCTGTACATTATAAACTATAAACCCAATGTTTAAAATTTCACAGTGATTACCAACACCCTGTTTCTTAAAACTTTCTTCTGACTTTTAGGATGCCACTCTCTTATTCTCTGTTTCTCTGGCCATTCCTCTGTGTGTGTGTGTGTGTGTGTGTGTGTGTGTGTGTGTGTGTGAGAGTGTGTGTGTGTGTGTGTGTAATTGTGATTTATTCATGTATGCTCAGATGGTTAACATTTTCTAATTAAGTAAATGAAAGCAGAAAATCCATATGGGTTATTTTAATACATTTAGGAAAAGCATTGTATATAGTCCAATACTTGAATGTTAAGAAAAAAGAAAAAAACAGGGTGCTGCCTCCACTCTTGTCCCAGTCTCCATTCTATTCCCATCTTGTAGCTAATGTGTTTAGTACTAAAGTCATTAAGATTACATCACTCCCAACCCCGGCCCAGAAGCGTAATTGGTGAGAGCCTTAGAGTATCATCCCAATACATCAAGGTTGTGGGTTCGATTCCCAGTCAGGGCACATACAAGAATAAACCAATGTATGCATGTGGAACAAAAATTGATGTTTCTCTCTTTCTGTCTCTCCCCCAACCAAAAAAAAAAATCAATTTAAAAGATTCTCCTTGTGCATAATGTGGCCATTCTGTCTTAATCTCCTTTGTTGAGTTTTTACTTGTCTCTTAATGGGAAAATTCTAACAATTCTATTCTTGGAACCCTTTCTCTTTTTGTTTTATGTCTCCAGGAAATCAATTCCACCATCATAGCTCCAATTGCCATCTATATTTTCTAGATTACTGCTGTCCAACAGAACTTGCTATGATAATGGAAATATTCTGTATCTGTGCTATCCAATACAGTAGTCACTAGCCATACGACTATTGAGCATTTGAGATGTAACTAATGCAACTGAGAAGCCATATTTTAAATTTACATTTAGTTGACTAAATTAGCCACAGGAATTCCAATCACTGAGAAACCCTATTGACAGAGTTTCTCATTAGTTCTGGAACAAGGTCCAAAAATTAATGTTTAGCAAAGCTTCTCCTGGTGATTCTGATGCACACATGCACAGAATTTTTTGAGCTTAGAACCTGGTAGGTATATAAAAGCTTTAAAAAAGATCAGGGGTCTTTTTGAGGTTTAGTTGGCAGGAGTTTGAGTAAGGGAGGTAAGATTATGTCCCACCCCATCCATCCCTCAAACATCTGAGAGAGGATGTCCACCTGTATCATTGCTGATATTATAGCAAGTATCAAGAACAGAATACATTTTTAAAAATTTATTTTTGGAGAGGGGAAGGGAGGGAGAAAGAGGAGAGAAATATCAATGTGTGGTTGCCTCTCGCGTGTCCCCTACTCAGAACCTGGCCCAAAACCCAGTCATGTGCCGTAGATTGGGAATCAAACCGGTGACTCTTTGGTTAGCAGGCTGGCACTCAACCCACTGAGCCACACCAGCCAGGGCTGAACAGAATATATTTTTAATGAAAGGAAGACATAGGAAGAGACTGAAAGTCAACTCAGGGAAACCAAGTGAGGAGTTCTCAAAACGCTGAGGATAAATTGTGACTTCTGTGAGGAAAGCCTGGTGAAACTTACCTCAATAAGCAGGTCAGATAACTGTAAAAAGAGCTGTTTCAACAACTTGAGTGTTGGAAGTAGAACCTACAAAGTTGGAGGATCCCACTTCTCTAGGGATTTAGTGAGGTGACAGACTTTTATATCAACTAAAAAGGTTATAACAGAAAAATGTTGAATTAAGAACAATGAACAGTGCGGTGTGAGACTTTAAAAAATTTAAGCCTTTAAAATCTCATAGAGCATTTGCCATGCCCTGACTGGTGTGGCTCAGTAGGTTGAGTGTTGTCCCGCAAAACAAAAGGTTGCTAATTCAATTTCTGGTCAGGGCACATGCCTGGGTTGCAGGCCAGGTGCCCACTGGGGACATGGGAGAGACATGTGTCTCTCCCTCTCCTTCTACCTCCCTTCCTGTCTCTCTAAAAATAAATTAAATAAAAAAAAAAACCACATTAAGAAACAGTATTTGTCACAATGTGTTTCTAAAACTTTCCTCAACGATATTTGCCTGTCTGCTGACCACAAACTAAGTTGAGTTGCTTTAGGACATTCCTTTCTAAAGTCTTTTTTTTTTTTTTTTAAAAATCAGTCTTTCCTTTCCTAATGGTTAATGGGCATTACCTTATTATATATCTCATCTAACCTGGCTCTTCTGTTTACTGTGTGACCTTGAGCAACCTCTTCAAGCTCCTTTTCTTTCATGGTGGAATACATTCAGATTGCCTCTAAAGTATGACTTTAATTATTAAATAAATATCAATTGTTTAGTGTTGCACATAGTAGATATTCATGTTCTCTTCCTCCTCCCACAGTGTCCAAGTTTAAGACGTATCTCTCACAAATAATTCATGATGGAGTAGAATGGGCTGATTCCAACAGCCTTAGGGATTGAGAGTGAATTCTTACCATAATGAAAAGCCTACTTCTCATCTAAATTGATACTGTTTGTTCATAGGTCTATTAGACCATATGGAGCCATATACCCAAATTTTAAGTGACCATCTCTGTGAAGTGATATCTAGAAGGCAGAGAGAGGGAGACGTTCACATTTAGTTTATGTAATTATACAGTATGAAAATTTTTGTAATAAACATGTATTGCGTATGTTTTTACAATTAAATTTTGTCCTAACCGGTGTGGCTCAGTTGGTTGGGCATTGTCTTGAAAAGCAAAAGGTCACCCATTCGATTCCCGGTCAGGGCACATGCTTGGGTTGCAGGCCTGGCCCCTGGTTAATATGCTTGTGAGAGGCAACTGATCAATATTTCTTTCCTTTCTCCCTCCCTTCCCTTTTCTCTGAAAATAAGTATTTTTTAAAAAATTTAAAAACACTCACAAAATGAATTACAGAAGAGTGGGGATCCCAAGGATGAAGATTTTGAAGGGGAAATGGTTTCTTTTCTTTAACCCTGTGCGATTGACAGCTGGTGAAGGAAATGGCAGGAGGGGGGATCCTTCTGTTGAGTGCCTTCCAGCCAGTCCCCATTTCATAATTTATTAATATTTTTCACTCTTAAGAAATTCTGCAAGTTCCTTTTTAAAAGTAGTTATCAGTTATGACTCATTTTATTAGTCTGTAAAACTGCCAAATGAACCTGAAGTGTGGAAATCTCTATTATCTACCATAGGCAGTAGCACCAGTAACTGTCTGCCGGTATCTTTACCTGCATGGCCACACTCATTCTACTGACATAATCTATGAATACAAAGAGGAGTGGTGTAGAAAGTGTGGTAAAACCTCAGCCTATAACAAAAGAATGGTGGAAAAGAACCATTATGGTATATAATACCAGGGCAAGTGAGAGCAGACAGGTGCTGGGTGACTACACCTCATTCGGAAAAACAGTATGGGAAAAAAAGGTCCTACAAAGTAGAGTGACACCGTGTCAGCATAGGTTTCCCTTGCACAAGCTTGCAAGGAAGAGCACAACATGCACCCAGAAGCTTCAATCTTTTTGAGATTTTCTAAAAAATACCCAGAGAGGTGGAAAACCAGGTACTAGAAAGAATTCTGTAAAAATTCAATGTGGTTGCCATGTAAGGACACCCACATAAATATATATTTATTTTTGGATTACTGGAGAGGTCAAAGAAGCAATAAATTTTTAAAATTAACTTTAGAGATGAAGGGAGGGGGGTTGAGAAACATCGACTTGCTATTCCCTTATTGGAACATCCATTCATTTTTGATTCTTGTATGCGCCTACACTGGGGATCAAACCCACAGCGTTGCTGTATTGGGACAATGATCTAGCCAACTGAGCTACCTGGCCAGAGCCAAAAAAGCAGTAAGTTATAAAAAAATTTTAAGGCATTTGGTATTTTAACTACTTTGCATTTTCCAAGATATATTAGTTTTTAAAATATTTATTTTTAGATGGAGGGGGAGGGAGGAGAGAAGAAGAGAAACACTAATGTGTAGTTGCCTCTCATGCACCTCCTACTCGGGACCTGGCCCACAACCCAGACATGTGCCCTGACTGGGAACCCAACTGGTGACTCTTTGATTTGCTGGCTGGCACACAATCCACTGAGCCACACCAGCCAGGGCCAAAGTTTTATATAAAATTATCAATACTAATTTTTGTCACTATATAAGTCTAGATATGTGTACTGAAATACTTATTTCAAGAATTACATGACAGAATTCAAGAAGAAAAAGCACATAAACAATACCCTCATCCCATCTTATTTTTTTTTAATTTTTGAAGATTTTATTTATTTATTTTTATAGAGCGGGAAAGAGAGGGAGGGAGGGAGGGAGAGGGAGAGAAACATTGACTCTCAGGCACCCCATGCTGGGGACCTGGCCTCAGCATGTGCCAGGCATGTGCCCTGACTGGGAATCGAAACAGCGACCCTTTGCTTTGCAGTCTGGTGCTCAGTCCACTGAGTCACACCAACCAGGGCGTCACCCCATCTTCTCAATCACACAGACCCAGAATGGTTAGATGATTCTTGGGAGTCAATCCCATCAGATACTGTTGGATCTAGGATTATAATCCTTTTGGGTCCTCATCTCATGTTGTTTCCATACAGCCTGATTGAGAACTAATCTTTATAAATTTGTACCACTGAATACTTTTTGTTTTACAAAACACAAATTGCCTTTTCTCTTCTGATATTTTAAAATAAATTTATAAGAGTCTTCTTGCTAGCCAATCCCCACTCATCATCTGTCCAGATTCTCTTGAACAGATTATACATTAGCTGGGTTCCAAAATAAAGACCTTCCAGTCTCTCAAATTCCATACTGCTCACCTAGTTCTCAACTCTTAGGTTTCTTGCGTCTGCCCTACTTGAATGGTACCTATTTTCTGACCTGCACTTGCAGCCTTGTCCCAGTATTTGTGCCTGGTTATCTGCTGTTGCCCACTGTCCACACACAAATATCTTCCTTTTTCAGGGGGACAAAAAGGCAGCTTTTGATGCACTCAGTCAAGTTCCCTTATTTGGTGGTTTTCCCAGTTGCCAAATGCCTTTCATTGTGACCCTGAGTAAGTAAATTAGGACAAGGCTCAAGACATCTCCCCATCTCCTCTTGTCAGCTATAAACCTAGAATAGAAACTGTCTGGTGGCTATCAGAAATTCACTCAATCACACATATTTCTCTTCTAAAAATAAAAGCCAAATACACATTTTTTGGTTTTTGCATATATTTACAGTATAAATACTACTTTTTTCAAAGTACATATTCTTTTAACCATTTGCAAAAGTTATCTAGCGTGGGACAGCAATTTAATGTAAAGCTTCTGTAGTAGTGATTAAGGAAAAATAGAACTGCTTTGAGGATAAGGGATTCAGAAGGAATATGAATGGGCATGATAATCTGAACTTGCAAGGGGGATGTGAAGCAGCTTAGTCCACATTGCACTGCCAATACAGAATGTTGAAGGGCTACTATGTGAGACAGCAACCTGGAAGGGGTGTTGTAAGAACTACGTTTGAGACATATAAAAAGTACACATGCTTGCATAGTGCATTAATCTTAAAGAAGCTCAACATTTCCTTCTCATTTTCAGTAACTTAAATGAATAGTACTTAAAACACATCACACAAGAATTAAAGACTTATGTATATATTTCAGATTTCAACATTAACGTCAAAAATACATAGTATGATTTTACATAGGATTTGTGCTACATTAGAACACTAGAGACAAATATCACTTGAGTATTAAGGAAAACATTAAATATTAAATAACTGAGAAATAAAATGTGTAAACACTAATCTAACGAGGGTTTTGCTATTGCAACATGTCCCATGAAGTGGTTTCAACAGTACAAAAAGGCTTAGGACATGAGTGTTTCCAGTCTACTTGGAATATGTGGATCTCATTCCAGGAATCCTTCAATAAAAACTGGTCCAGGATAACAGGAGAGGATCCACTCTCCTGGTTGTTAATTTGGTACACTCCGTTCTATGCTAATTTTTACTTTCAAACTTGGGTACTGAGGAAATGCTTTTAAATTGTCACGCCTCATCAACATCTTGGTGAAAATTGAGGGTTTGTTGGCGATTCAGTGTAAGATTTGAGTTCATATGCAGCACCGCTATCAACTTCCATTGACTTTCTAGAGAACAGGAGACGTACATCTCTATGGAGGTAGATCTTTCCAGATTTAGAACTCTGGAACCTAAATAAACAAACAAAAAGATGCATCATTTAGGGAATGATTCATTTAAAATCAAACCAAAACCAAAGCCCTGAATAATTAAAGGTAGAAAGAATTAGTCTTGCCACAATATTAATAATAACTTTTAACAAGATAGTTAAAGTCTTCTATTGTCAAAGCATGTGTTGCTATTTAAGTGCCTCTTTCTTACTATCCCCTAAACACTCCATACTCCCCTTTCCCTTGTACAATACCAGGGATGCTTCCTTCTGTGAATCTGGTACATATGAGGGTGGGACCCCAAAAAAGCTGGAATTATCTTCTAGAGGCCAATTCCCTTGCAGTACAGGCTTCCTCCGCTAGCTGAGTGTTCTAGGAACTCATCTATATCAGTGTACCAGCTGGCATTGTTGTGAGGGGCTGCATTTGGCTTCAGTGAATTTTTTTGAAGATCCTACGAGTTTGCCCATTTCATGGTGGGTGATTTATGAGCGCACCTGCCCACACCACACTGAGTGTTCAGCAGTTTTGACCCAAAACTCCTGTGCCCCACCCTCCCTATTCACCAGTCCTGCCCTGATTGACATTTTTTTGTTGTTGTTGTGTCCTGGATGAAAAAGTCCTCAAAGGGAAACATTTTGCCGATGTGGAAAATGCGAAACGAAAAATGACAGCAGCACTAAAAGACATCAAAATCAACAAGTTCAAAAACTGTTTTGAGCAGTGGAAAAAACATCTCAATAGGTGTATTGCATCAAATGGAGAGTATTTGAAGGTGACTGAAATTTCAACATGTAGGAATAAATACACAATTTTTTATAAATAAATTCTGTTTTTTAGAATTTATACCTTTCATCCCTGACACCACATGACACCTTTCCTCATCTACAGTGTCAAATTACAGTTCACAACACCCCATTACATTATATTTGGGCTTTGCAGCTCTAGCATCTTTTCGCCACACAGATTTGATCATTTTGCACAACTTGCCTCCCCACAGCTTTGAGAACATTAAAACTGATTTCACATTTGAAAAGTCACCATTGAAAATTATCAAGTTTTGAGTATAATCACAGGATACAAAAGGACTTCTATCATCAGTAGCAGCTAATTAAATAAAGCCTAGTTATCATTAAAAATCACTTAAGTTAGCAGTGAAATGCAAATGTTATTAAAACTGAATATGGAACAGTTTCTATCCCATGCTAATTAATATTTATAGCATAACACAGAGCACTGAAATCTTTAATCATATAAACTTATCTGGCAGGTAGTCAAACAGAGCCTTTGGTGCTAATTTCTCTAGTTTTCTCTTTGCATAGCAGAAAAGCTCTCTGGGTTTGTGTTTTTTATTCCTAGATTAACTGAAAAAATCTGGTGGTCAGTTGTGTATATTAAAGCAGACCCCTCTGACTGTCTCTCTCTTTTTCTCTCTGATGTTTTTCATTATGTGAATCTGAAGGAGAACATGGTGAGCTTTGGGAACTATGCCATATTTTGCAAAGAGGTTTCTTTAGATCACTGAAAGTATCTAATCGTTAAGTAGGGATTATAAAAGCTGGGGTAGTTAATTTTTACTTTCATAAATGTTGGTTACACACAGCTGTGGTTGTTAAAACTTCAAGAGGAATGGTATCAAATGGAAGTTTAAAGACAGTTGAATCTTTTTTCCTACATTGGGCTGGGAGCTATTCTTATAGTCTGCTATTTTATACCATTTCTTTTTTTAAAAAAATCTTCCAAGTCTGTTTTGGTATATTTTCATTCCCACAATTTGTACATTTCCATGAGGCTCATGTTAAGTAATATAAAGTTGGGTTTAAATATATTGTGCTGGTTCAACATGTCCTTAGGTTGCCAACATCAGGCTGAAGACCCCAAGATAAGAGTAATCAATTAAGCAGTGCTATGGGGGAGGGAGGAACCCAATTAACTTAACAGATGTTTTCAACTGTGGGACTTAAGTGTACAGCTGACTCCTTATTCACTCTAGATCACCACAAAGCAAATCTATTGAATGATGGGTGGTCGCCATCAGTAAGAGATTAAAGAAGCCCTCTGTCTGGGCCCTGGATGTAAGATGCCTCTTCCTCCTGATGAATAGGGCTCTTGAATAAGGAGTTCAGCTAAGATGAATTACTGTCATTGATGTGATTGAGCACTTACTATAAATGGCTTCAGAAAAATATTAGGAATAGAATTATAGGCAAAAGCCTACTGAGTTCTCTCTTAACCAACAGACTTGCTCATTAATCCTGAAAGCTGTACTAGGATTTCAGGTCTGAAAACCTTACTCTAAAATGCTGGCCCCTTGCACCTCAAGGGCAAACAAGTGGTTTCTCACCACCTACGGCTGTAAGCGTGGCAGTAAGAGTTTGCAAAAAAGATATTTCTAATGGAATTACTAGAATATAAGCTCTATAGGAACAGATTTTGTCACAGCTGTTTCCTAGTGCCTAGAAATAGGTCTAACATAAGTATTGATGGAATGAATGAATGAAGGTTAGTAACTTCTGTGTCTAATACAGCAGCCACTAGCGACATGTGGCTGCTGAGCACTTGAAATATGGCTAGTTTAAACTAAATCATGTTACAGTCCTGGCTTGGGTAGCTCAGTTAGTTAGTGTCATCCTGATATACCAAGTTTGATCCTCAGTCAGGGCACATACAAGAATCACCAATGAATAAATAAATAAGTGGAAAAACAAACTGATGTTTCTCTCTTTCTCTAAATCAATCAATAAAAATATTTTTTTAAATGAATTGGGCTGTTAATGTAAAATACATACTTGATTTTAAGTATTCAGTATAATTAGTAAAGAATGAAAATCTTATTCATATTTATATTATATTTATAATAATGAACAATAAAGAATATAAAATACCTCACTCAATATTTATATTGATTATATATTCAAATTATAACATTTGGATATATTGGATTAAATAAAGTATACTATTAATCTTTTTTCCTTAATATTTTAAAAATGTAGTTACTAGAAAATATAGAACTACATATAGGGTTCACATCATAATTCTATTGGACAGCAACTGATTTAGAAAATGTGTCTCACTGCCCCAGAGATGGCATTTGTTTTGATATAAAATATTTTGCATTATACAGATATAAATGAAAACTCCCCTAATTCAAGAAGTAATAATGACTGCAGAAAGATGTGCTATGTGTTTTCTGCATCTAGGCATATCATCAGTGTCTGAGTTAAGCAAGCTCCAAGGGACACCAATGTAGTCAGTGACAGTTTTTAAAATAAACTACAAATTTTATAGTTGTTTTTCTAAAGTAACCTTTTTATTTTCATTTAAAACATTACCTCAGATGAATGAGGTAGCGTAATAACCGTTCTTCTGTATGCCGAATGTTCTCTTTATTAACACCTCTCTTCATTTCTTGTTTAACTGGTACAGAAAAAGTTCTTTGTCGAAGGAATGTCTGATGATTGGCTGGCATATCTCGTAAGTCATATATCACAACAAACATCTTCACCACAGTCTTATTAGGATTAAATAAGGTCTGAAGAAACAATACAGAAAAAAAAATTTTTTTAAAACAGTGATTCATTGATCTAACTCAAACTGGTTGTGCCAATAACAAAGCAGATTTTTAAATAATACAGTAATCCCAGTGCATATAATTCAGTTTTGGGGATTAAAGTTAAAGAAATTTCACAAGTTTATGAGCCGATACTCAATATTTTAAAAAATGGTTCAATTAATATTTATAATTTGACAGTAACATAAAATCCTGAAACAAATCTAAATCTTTAGCCATAAATTTCATATTAATAATAGGCAATATATAACTTTTACTCCTTGTTCATATTTTAAGAAATCATTCCACTAGATTAAGGAAAATATACCCTCACTGGATTAAAACATTCTAGTTCATTTATTTCAAACATTAGCTTTATTAAAGTGTGCTTACTGTAAATTTCATAAAATAGAATTTTAATTTTCCTCACATTTTAATAGTGAGTAAATAGGAACTTTTAAAAATAAAAGTTTGGTAAAGCTGGACTTTTTGGTGTTTCAGGTACATATGGTTATAAAATATGTTCTCTTTGGATATTTAACATTGAAAATATTATTTAAATTCATAAAGGCTCAGATCTTTCCTATATTGAAAGTAATTTTATGTTAAGTAATCTCATCTAAAAAAATGACAATAAAATATGTTCGCAAAGAGATTTTTCTTATTTGAAATGTTTCTAAGTTTAGAAAATAAAGTTCATTACTATCAGTTACATGTTAGACTAAGTAAAACTTCATGTTTTCATAATTGGATTCATTTCAAAAACTGCAGTGACACTTTTAAAAATCATCAATACCATAAATAGACCAAAATATATATGTGCATTAATACTACTTTTTAAAATACTAATTTATAAACAAAATCCCAAGCTGCTGATCTGACTTTAACCAAATTACCAACACATCAATAGGTAACTTGGTGCCCATGCTTTCTGAAGCTCATCCGTGGCACTGGACATCACTCACTGAATCAAAATGAGAAATAGATCAATATTATGATCCAACTTTTTAAAATGTAGTGAGTCTTAAGATTAAGGCTAATACATTCAACAAAACACACAACTAGCAAGCCAGGAGTTCAAACCATGTTTATACGTAATTAAACTATGTAAGAAATTAAAGACATACCTAAATTTCATATTTAAAATTAACCACTAATGTTGGCTGTCCTCAAACAAGAGGTGAACGTGTGCTGTCTTTGTGTTTATGCTTCATTATTATGACAACTGACAACTAGCTTTTCAGTGACTCACACTTTCACATGAGCTACAATGCCAGAGGTGAGAGAACAGATTATCCTTCTTTTAGTTCAAGATTTTACTTTAATTCGCAGTGATTCTTCCTCAGTAAAACTTACATATATGTAAATATGTGCACAGTACTATGTTTCATTCCTGTGTGATATGCAATAAACAAACAGATAGACTTCTTTGTTGTACTGGAACAAAGGTGATGAGTAAATGTGGTCTGGGGAAGCCAAAAGTCATAAAAAGGCTTGTTGAATTATACCAGATCCTAAGTGTGAGGAACTAATTATATATTTTTTTAATTTCAACTTTACTGAGGTATAATTGACAAATATCAGTGAAGCTCTTTTTAATATACAAGAGCCAATTCTGTAATAGATAGACTTCTAGGCTTTCAAGATTATCCTGGATCTGACTTGGAGATGAACTCAGTGGCAAAATGGCCTTTATATCAAGTTACTCTTCTGAGAACCTTAAACCAAGGGTGATGAAAGATTGCTCTGGGCTCGAAGAGTTCTCCAGAATGCAAACTAGATCAACACCTAGACCAACAGAAAACATGCCTTTTTTGCCCCGACGTCTGTCAGATTACATTTTGTGTAACATTCTCATTAGATCAATTTAGAAATTACCCTAGGGATAATATAATTTTGTTTCCCAAGTTGTCCTGCCAAAGCTATACTAATATCTGGGGTCTCATTTTGAATAGATAGGTCTCAATCTGGCTTACTATTTTAAACAGAAGGCACTGGTATTGTTAGGTCCTGATTTTACTGAAAAATAGCTCTATTTAAGTTATGTAAACTGTCATATACTATTTTTTCTAATGCATTCACCTTAATTAGCTTATTAATGCTTTCCTTTATGGAGGCCCCAAAAGGGTCATTCCTGGGGCAGAGCAGGGAAACTCCAAAGAAAGCTGCAGCCCCACTGTTACTTACCAAAGTTGTTGCAGCAGCAGTAGCAGGAGAAAGGGCTAAGTTCTATATGTATGTGAGAGAATGATTATTGCAATTGTAGGCTATAAAACACATACCACTTGTATTGTTCCTGAAGGAGGTACTCGATAACCCCTTTTACCAAGGGACTCTAAAGTGATCACACCCTTGAAATAAAAGAAGACAAATTGAGTACAGACTGATGCATATGTATATAAAAGACTAAAATAATAATAAACCATGTAGTTACTAAAATTTCAGAATTCTATCTGTATGGAAAAACATTCACATTGCGTTAATACATATACATTCTATGAGTATGAAATAGTGAGGGTCCCACTGGTGTGAAAACAGTTTACTGTTCTTCCTGGAGATGTCACAATAAATAATATATAACATCAAATATATAATAAATAACAAATATATCAAATAAATAACAATTATATAACACCATACTACTTGAAATTTCTGCTAAGATATAAGATTTAAATGTGAGAAGTTCCCTAACTTAAAAGGGTAAAGGGAGGTGATAGGATTATTCCCTTGTATCATGTAAGAGGAAAGAGATGAAGAAGAAAAATAATTTATTAGTCTTCGGACATATAAAAAGTCAGGAACGTGGAAGGACTTAAGTCTTGGCCAAAAGTGCAGTCAATTCCCTAGGCATATGGATGAGAGACAGACAGCACCAACAATATCACCTGGGAACTTGTCAGAAACGCAGAATTTCTGGATTCTCCCCAGTCCTACAAAATCAAGTCTGCATTTTAACAAGATTTCCCAGATGATATCATACATACATTAACATTTGAGAAGCACTGCTGTGTTATATAACATAGTTTTATGAGAAGGATGTTCTAATCATTGCAGCAGTCCCCAAATGGGAAAGAAGTATAAATCGAAATAAGGGAAGCTTTGATTGAACATGTGAAAATTTCTAGATCACCAGAATAACCAAATGACTACAGGCAGTGATTGTGATACCATATTTTGCCGTGTATAATACGCACTTTTTTGCCTGAATTTTTAAGGGAAGAAGAAGGGTGTGCATTGCACATGGGTTTAATGATTACATACCACGGGCATAATAATCCTGTGTATAATGCACACAGAAACGTGGGTGACCATCATACACAGCAAAAATATGGTGATTCTCAGAGAGCTGTAAGAAAAGAATGCTCATTCATTTATTTTAACTGGGCTAAATTTTCTTTCCAGTAGCTTAAATAGTTAAGTAGAACAATCGCATGCTTTGCATTTCATATCCCATCATTTTATGTTGTACATGTCAAAATATGTCAACCTTACATAAAAGTAAATATAAAACAGCACTGTTACACCAGGCAACATCCATGTGTTTCAAAGACAGGCCAGGATGGGGGGCAGGTAGATGATGGGTAAAAAGGAGTAGAAAAAGGGAAAAGGGAAAAACAGTCTCCAATAAGGAAATATCACAATTCCAAACGAACAGCACTTGACATCAGACTGTTAGGTTAACATGTTAAATACTGGGAAATGTTCATGGAAATGGGCACTGAGAAATGTGGTTCTTGAAAAATATGATTTATCACAAGTCATCGAGAACACGAAAAGAGAGTATCAACAACCTGCATCCCTAACCAAAACAGCAACGAAGCTTTAAACACTTTCTCTCTTACAATCTGCTCTACATGAAAAATGCAATGATGTATACTGCCCCTCTTCTTCCTAGTTCCAGAAAGAGAAAGTTTAAAAAAAAATATATATATATATAAATGATAACTACCTTTATAATCACAATGCTATAAGCAATATATTACTATTCTTCCTTGCCACCCTCCCCTAAAAAAATAAAGGAAAACTGGCAAAGCAAAAAATACCATTAGGCCACTCCGGCTGGCGTGGCTCAGTGGACTGAGTGCAGGCCTGTGGACCGAAAGGTCACCAGTCTGGTTCCAGGTCAGGGCACATGCCTGGGCCTGGGGTCAGGCCTCCAGTTGGGGTGTGCAGGAGCCAACCATTTGGTGTTTCTCTGCCTTTTTTTCTCCCTCCCTCTCCCTCTTTAGTCTCTAAAAATGAATAAATAAAATCTTTAAAAAAACCCCTACTATCAAGCCTATATTTCCTTTAATACATGACAATTATAATAGTTTTCAGAATATGATAATAGTAACTAAATAAATTTATATAGAAAATAGCTTTTTTTTTAAACCTTAAAGTTTAAGGCAACACTTATCTAAGCAATGTTAAGACCAATATGGCATTGGTAAATTAGATATTAGAAAGGAATTGAAAAACTATTAGAATTCTATTATTATTACTAAATTTGTTATTTATTATTTTAATAATTGGTCAGCATATCAATATTTATATATAGTAAAAGTTACTGTACTTCTGGCATTTTATGATAGAATAGAAAGGTTAAGATAAACTAAATCTTATACAAAAACCTATTCTCAAATTATTGTGGAACAGAAAATATACAAAGCTAAGTAAAACAGTAAGAAGTTTATCTTAATTTGGTCACTTACAAATAGAAGAAAATAATATATGGACCTGTTAATATGATAATACAAGTTATACCATGAATTTGCTACTGGCACACCTGTTTTAGACCTTTCTGCTTGGTTCCACCACATAACAGTTTCTAAACTGTGGAAAGTTGCCTTGTTATACAATATTTGAACATTTTACCACTGACACCCAATTGCAGAGAGATATTGCATAGCTTTGAGTTAATCTTCAAAGAATTATTTAATGAAAAGTCCTGTACCACTTCTACACACACGAACTTTCTGCACTAAAATTTTACCTTTGTAAGTCATTTGTATAATTTGTAATGAGAGGTCCCAAGGTTATTATTAGAATAACAAATTGGAGTTTGATATCTTAGCTCTGCTGGTCTGTGATATGTGATATGTATTATCTTATCAAAACATGATCAGTACTTTGAAAACAGATGGAATTACCAATATATAAATAAGATTCCCTGAAGAACAAGATTAATTTTATTAATTTACAATAGGAAAGAAGTGTGGTCTAAGATTTGGACTGCATCACTTGCTAAGGAAACCCATTTCTAATGTGTAAACTGACTTAGAAAAAATTACATAATGGAAAGTTTACTGAAGAATATTATCAGAAGAAAGTAAATCAGAGTAAGAATAGACTAGTTCAATAACCTGATTTAAACTATTTCCAGTATCTATTCATAATCCATACCATTTGTGTGTACTTTATGGAGACAAAGTGACAAAATCCTTTATCTCTTAATCCTTTATTTTTTAAATGTCAATGAAGGTCAAGGATTAATGCTGTTTTGTTTTTACAAAGGACCTCTTGCTCATAAATTTCATTCGAAGATACTTATTTGAGCTGATTTTCAGCCAATTTACTCTTTTATCTTATTTCTGAGTCATAATGGTCTTCAGGACTCTATACACTAATGATAGACTACAGTATTTTAGATCTTATCCTTCAATTTTCTATCACTATGTATCAGTAGAACACGCGAAACTGATGAGACTTCTTGATTCCCTTCCTGGTAAAGCAAAATGGGCATCTTCACATTTATATTCTAATATTGTAAGCATTCCAATGTGATACACTTTTAAACTGATATGGAACTTATCTCAAGGGTACTTTCCATTGTATCCATTACCCAAAATTAGCATTTACTTTTTTCAAAAGTTTTACTGGAAAAGTGTATACCTCTTTCTGTGGTAAATGAATAAAAGGTGGCTTATGTGATAATGGGCAGGTCTGTAAAGGTGTGGGCCTTGTTCTTCATAATAGCCAATGTTGTGCATCATTAGGATTATGATCCAAATATAAATATTATTAGGAAAAGAAAACTTCAAATAAATTAGCAGACACCATTATGTTTTCTATCAAACTATGAAACCCTGATAAGGATCTTGAGTCAAGTTTTCACCCTTAGAATGGAATAAGGCTTCCTTGAGCAAGCTGCCAATAATGAGTAAGCTATATTAGGTCCCTAAAAAAATAAAACTTCCCTTCCTCTGTTGTTTCTCGATTATGTAAAATTCCTTTTCCACAACTTTTATTAATAACAAAAGACACAGTTATTAATGTCCTTGAAAATCTAAAAGATTGGGGAGAAGAAGCAGTTGGGCCAGGTGGTAGCTGGGACATTCAAGTAGCAAAACAAGGGCTGTATGGTTCTTTGCCTATAGCAATACATACCTTGTATTTCTCAAAGTAAAACCAAAATTGAAAACCCAGCTCTGCCTCCATGTTTGATACTGTTTCTGTGAACTTTTTATAGACTTCCACTTCTCCCCCTTTGTGCTTTAGAAAAGGGCTGATACTACTGGACTTGGTATCATTTTTGCAGATGACGGCTTATTTTATCCTTAAGCCACTGGCATAAAAAATGGGAAGGATGAAATCATAGGACTGTAAGGCTCAAAACTGTGCTCTAATTCCCCTTAGCTATCTTACTTTCCAGTAAAACATTAGCACACAGTCAGAAATAACTAATATTCTAAAGAACACTAGAATTAGAATAAAATGGTCCGGAGATAAACCAAACGGGAGGAAGTGAGTGAAGGGCCTCTCAGAAGCCTAGGTTACCAAATCTTTTACTAAACTCTACTGAGGTGAGGATAACACGTGAAGGCAACCCTTGTGGGAGTAGAGTGCCCAGTAAGCACTTGAGAATTTGGGTGAATTCAGCAAGATAAGGAATTATAGTGTCACTGACTAATCACATTTATTATTTTTTCAAATCACAGAGAAACAAGTAAGTTTTCAGCACCACTGTCAAATGCAAAAGAGGATATCTATTGTTAGAGCTAGCTCAGAAAGAAGTTGTGAGGTAACATTTTGCTTGGTAAAATAGTCTCAATTCAGCCTTCAAATTTCCTCTTTCTTTATATTTTCAAGCACTGACCCAAAGCAGTCCCTCAATCTCCTTCAGCTTAATTGAAGATATCTGTCATAAAGTTGGTTGACTTTATCAGAAAAAGACAATTTTAAAAATACTTGCCATATAAGGAGAGGGAGCATTATCATCTGAAACACTGTAGAATGACACTTCAACTGGAAGAATCAAATGTGTGGGGCAGAAAACACCACTTGCCCCGACCTCAGCAGTAAAGCCATCAACAATGCCGAGGGGATCTAAACGATAGTTCAAGACAGATTCCTAGAAGACAAAATAATTCTTAAGTTACACATTTAAAAACTTAACTCATTTATTTTGTTTTCTATTTGAGGAAATACATTACTATGAGTTCTGGTATTAGAAAAGTGATTGCTACCATTGTCATGCCCTCATTTCAGATGTTCATCTGACCTGAAATTAGCCATTCCCCCCATCAGTCTTCTACCATCCTATAAAATTTGGCCTCCTCTCATTATTCCAACCCATGCTGAACTACCCCTGAATTTCACCATTAGTTAGACCTGATTGTTTAATATATCATTCTTTTCTCAGTAAATTAAATATTCTTGACGAGAGCAGGTATAGTATCAGAAATTTTACAGAGCCTATACATGGTGCTAGCTGCAGAGAAGCACTTGAAAACTTGTTGCTTGGTCATATACTTAAGTTCCATCAAAAAAGAAAGGCAAGCACTTATAACTTTGATCAAGAAATAAATGTGTCTTTAGAAAAAATCTAGAAGTACAGAAATACAAACAGTAGGGAAGCTGCTTATCCATCTCTCCCAAGCTCACTTGTTGAAATAGCCATTTTAACAATTTAGAAACCAACAGAGACAAAAGGGAAGGAGGGAGGGGTGGGCTGGGGGAAAATGAAGGGAAGGGGAAAGTCAAGGAACATATAGCAAGGACTCATGGACAAAACCAAAGTGGGGAAGGATTAAAAACAAAACAAAACAATTTAGTGTTTACCTTTCCAGGTATAAGAAACATTTCAAATCTTTCACAAGCTCTCTTTCATATGTTTATATCAATACATATATGCATGCATATGTAGTAAAATGTGAATGGCATTTCTTTGTTCAGTAATCCTTTGAAAAGAAACTCTGCATACCCTCATGAGTATAATATTCTGTGCACTCTAAATCTGAAATAGTGAATCAGCCATTCTAAAGTACCCTGATGAAAAAGATAAGACTAAGAGATCCATGTTACAACAACGTTCCCTAAACTCCACTCGGACTCTTACCACCTCTCCTCCAAACAAATGCAACATCTTCTAAGATTACTGTATTTCTAGTATATCCTCAGTATTAATGTCAAAGCTGTCTTTTAAAAGAAATGTTATCATTTACCAGGTTAAAACTTTGGGTTTCTGATATTTATGGGAGGAAGTCAGATCTTCATTGCATGGCATGCCCATGTACCTTTCTTGCCTCATCCCTCCCCTGCAGAGTCTTATGCTCTCCATGCTCGTTTACTGCTTTCGCACGTATGCCTCTGTACATGTAGCTCCCTCTGTCTAGAATCCCTTGCTACTCCACACACTAATTTACCAGGCAAATTCCTACTCATCTTGTGTAACAAAGCTCAAGTGACAGTTCCTCAGTAAAGCTTTCCCCGATCCCTTAGCAAAGAGATTGGATATATGAGGACGAAGGGAACTTCTATTATACTTCCAAATACTTGGGTTAAAAAATTATTTATATACCCATCTTTTTCAGTAGACTGTAAACTTCTCTAAGGCAGGCACTTTTATCATTTAGTTTTGTCTTCTAGAATACAGTACAACACATAGTTGGTACCCAATAAAAGTTTCTTTTAGAAAAATATCCTACAGCCCTCACTGGTGTGGCTGAGTTGGTTGGATGTCGTCCCTCAAAGCGAAAGGTCACCCGTTCGATTCCTGGTCAGGACACATATGTAGATGGTGGGTTTTGTCCCCGGTTGGGGGTGCATACAAGAAGCAACAAATCAACATCTCTCTAACATTGTTGTTTCTCTTCCTCTTTTTCTCCCTATCTTCCTACCTCTCTAAAAATAAATAAAAATTTATTTATTTTGTAGAAACAAATATTCTACAGATGTATAAAACAGGATAAGCACATACAAAAAAGCTTATGAAAAAGGCCGATGATCTATAGTAGTTTCTGACTTTATTCAGAGTTTTGTGACTTTAAATTATAGTAACATGGATTCTAGACTCTATTCAGTGCAAAACAACAAGAAAAGGAAATAAATGGAATATAGATAACAAAGTAAGAAATAAAATCGTCCCTACTGGTAGATGATATGAGCTGATATGAGCATCTATCTAAAATAATCTCAAAAAGTCTAAAAAAATAATCAATAAAATTAATAAGCAAGATGAGCAAGGTCGTAAGGTGATTATATATGCATATATACATATACATTCATAGATACACATATGTATATAGATAAACATATATAATCACTTACATTTTAATATACAGGTATGAAAATTGGGAACTTAATAAAGACATGAGCGAAGTAAAAAGAGAAATGACAAACCAAAAAAAAAGTTTTCAACTTGTAAGACAAATAAAAGGTTACTATCTCTGTATTATGTATTCATGATACATAAAGAACTTCAAAAGCACGGACGTAAAAGACCAACCACTTTATAGGAAAAATGACCAACAGACATGAGCAAAGAGGAGATATGCAAATAGTCCTTACATATGTGAAAAAGTTCTCAATATATTTTATAAAAGAAGTAATGCAAATTCAAACTGTACAAAGACTGTATTTGTCACTTAGACTGATAACCATCTAAGTTTGTTGATGTGCATGATTGATGAGGCTGTGGGGAATCAGGAAATCTAGTATATACTAGTCGGTGAGAATACACAATTTTTCAAAGCTGATGGAGGGGAACTTGGTAATATTTAACAAAATTACATATGCATTTTATACTTTGATCCAGCAATCTTACTTCTAGGAATGTATCCCAAAGATATACCAGTAAAAATAGTACAATATACACATAAGCTATTCATTACAGCATAATTTATAATAGCAAATGGTTGAAAATAAATGTCCTCCAGTAGGAACCTAGTAAAATAAACCATGGTAGATCCACATATTGGAACACTATGTAGCTGTAGGGAAATGAGAATTATCTCATAGCAGTCAGACAAGAAAAAAAATCAAAGGCATCCAAATTGGAAAGAGAGAAATAAAACAATTATCATTCATAGATATGATACTACATACACAGAACCCTTAAGATATCACCAAAAAAACTATTAGAACTGGTCAATGAATCCAGTAAAATTGCAGGATACAAAATTAATATTCAGAAATCAGTGGCATTTCATACACCAATAAAAACTATCAAAAAGAGAAATTAAAAAACAATCCCATTTTATAGTTGCATCAAAAAGAATAAAATACCTAGGAATAAATTTAGCCAAAGAGGTGAAAAGCCTGTCTCAGAAAACTGGTAGATATTGCTGAAGGAATTGAAGAAGATATCAATACAATCTCATGATTTGGAGGAATTATCTTTCAAATGCCCATATTACCCAAAGCAATCTACAGAATCAATGTAATTCCTATCAAAATACCAATGGTATTTTTCACAGAACTAGAACAAATAATACTAAAATTTATTATGGAATCACAAAAGACCCTGAATAGCCACAGCAATCTTGAGAAAGAACAAAGTTGGAGGTATCATGTTACCTGATTATCAAACTATACTATAAGGCTATAGTAATCAAAACAACATGGTACTGGCCTAAAAACAGATATACAGCTCAATGAAACAGAATAGAAAGCCCAAAAATAAATCTGCATATATATGGTTAATTAATCTACAACAAAGGAAGCAAGAGTGTACAATGGTATAAAGACAGCCTCTTCAATAAATGATGCTGGGAAAACTAGACAGCTACATGCGAAAAAGATAAGACTAGACTAATTTCTTCCACCATATACAAAAATAAACACAAAGTGGTTTAAAGACTTAAAAAAAAGAATTGGGAATTTAAAACTTCTAAAGAATAATTTAGAGTATCAGTAGAAAACATGAAATATTTACATGTAAAGCTACAAAAATATGTCTAAGATCTGTATGCTGAAAAGTATACAACACTGATGAAAGAAACTGGGACCCAAAAAATCCAGAATTTACTTATAAAATATTGTGTATTTATTCTTACATGTTTAAACTTCAGTCACCTTCAAAGTACTCTTCATTTGATGCAATACACTTATTGAGACATTTTTCTGCCTGCTCATAACAGTTTTTGAACTATGCAATTTTGATGCCTTTAGTGCTTCTATCATATTTGTTTTACCTCTTTCACATCGGCAAAACAATTCCCTCTGGTGCCTTTTTTCATATTGAGAGGGAACAAAAAAAAATTGTTTCTTGGGGCGAGAACGGGTAAATAGGGAAGGTGGTATATGGGTGTCATATCATTCTTGGTCAAAAACTGCTGAATACTTGGTGTGGTAAATCACCCATGATGAAACATGTTGAAAGAGTCTTCAAAGCCTGTACTACAAAGGGCTCACCCTCCGGAGATAATTCCATTTTTTTTCTGGGTCCCCCGTTGTGTTCATGTCACAAGATGATCTCTATCCATGCAACTCAAACGAAATTCAGCAGGCTTTTTGGTAGATACAAACAAGCTAATTCTAAAATTTACATGAAGTAAAGCATCTGGAATAGGTAAAGCAATTTTGAAAAGAACAACAAATTAGAGACCTCACATTACTTGATTCCAAAACTAGTATTATTGGACATTCATATCATGAACATTAACTTGACTGCACACTTAATATCACACACAAATATTGACTCAAAATAGATCACAGATCTAAATATAAGGACTATAATGATAGAACGTCTAGAAGAAAATATAGAAGAAAAATTTTGTGACCTTGGGTTAGGCCAGTATGTCAAAGTTTTGAGATATTTTTGGCTGTTTCAACTGTGGAGGGGGGAGTGCTACTGGAATCCAGTGGGTAGAGGCCAAAGATTCTCCTAACCATCCTACAATGCATGAGACAGATCACATAAGAAAGAATTATCTGGCTCGAATATCAATAATGCTAAGGTTGAGAAGACTTGAGTTAGGCAAAAGTTTTTTAGATATGATGTCAAAAATCAAGATCCATAAAGAAAATAATAAATTGGACATGAACAAAAGTAAAGTCAAAAGACTGTTACAAAGATGTAAATCTAAGCTTCAGATTTGCATAAAATATTTGGAAAACATATGTATTTATTTGGGAAAGCAGAGTTAAATTATAAATCACAGAAAGGAAGCTCAATAGTATTAGTTATTAAGGAAATATAAATTAAAACTATAGTACAACACTACACATGCACTAGAATGGCTAAAATAAAAAGACTGACCATTGATATACCATATGATTTCACTTATAAGTGGAATCTAAAGAACAAAATAAACAAACAAAATAAACAGAATCACAGATACAGAGAACAGACTGAATGATGCTAGAGGGAAAGGGGTGGGGGGACTGGGCAAAAAAAGGTGAAGTACAAATTGGTAATTACAAAATAGTCATGGGAATGTAAATTACATCGTAAGAAATGTAGTCAATAATATTGTAATAACTATGTATAGTGTCAAGTGGGTACTGGAAATATCTGGGGAACACTTTCTAAAGCTTATGACTGTCTAAATACTATGCTGTGCATCTGAAACTAATACAAAATACTATTGAATGTAAACTGTAATCGAAACATCAAATTTAAAAAAAAAGGATATAAGAAAATTACATGGAACCCAAATGCAGATAATACACTTTGGCCTTAAGGAAACTCATGTAAACCCAACTTTAGGTGAAAAAAAAGAAAAAAAAGACAAAGACTGACCATTGCAAATGTTGGCAAGGACTTGGAGGAACTAGAATATGCATACATTACTTGGGAATTAAAAATAGTGTTAACTACCCAGGTATTCTACTCCTAGGTAGTTACTCAAACAATATGAAAACTTATGTCCACACAAAAACATGAATATTCATAGCAGTTTTATTTGTAATAGCCTAAAACTGGAGATGACCCAAATGTTTAGAATCAGGTGAATCAATAAACCAACTGTGGTATATCCATATAACAGCAATAAAAAGAAACAAACTCTCTTTTTTTTGTACTTTTTAAAAAAATGTATTTATTTGTTTGTTCAAATACATTTGTCTCTGCCTTCCCCCCACCACTTTCCTCTGCCCCCCTCCCCCAACTCCCTCCCTCAATCTTTCCCCACTTCAGTTTTGTCCACGAGTCCTTGATATATGAGAAACAAACTCTTGATACACAGGACAACACACATAACTTCAAAATAATAATGGTGAGTGAAAGAAACCCCTAACCTTCCCCTCGCCCCGCCAAGATTAACTACTGAATGACTCTACTTATGTAAAATTTTAGAAAATGCAAGCTATTTTATAGTGATAGAAATTACCGGGACTCCCTTATACAGGAAAAAATTATTGCTGTCAGTATTGTGCTGGACTGAATTGATGGAAGAAGAGATTCACAGGACAGATGAGTGGAATGGATGAAGACAAGGTTTTGAGTAGAAAACTCTAATAAAAAAAATTTTTTTTTGCTATTGAGTTATATGAGTTCTTTATATATTTTGGATATTAACCTCTTATCAGATAGAAAACTCTAAATGGTAGCATGAAAAAGTAACCAGCTTCAAAACTCAGACAGACAGCCTTCTACTCTGGTCGATGTGTTTCTAAACTACACCTGAAGCCCCACAAATAATGTCAGAACATTGTTGATTTCACCTCAACAATTCTGCAGGGTAAGACTTTGCCCTGTTTCAAGACCAATGTGTCAGTTTAGTAATTCAAATCTATCCTTTCACCTGTTAAAAACTGCCATAGAGAGTCAAATGCACTAAGTAGAATGAATACCTTCAGTGATTTATTGTTGGGAGGATTTAATTCATTATGAATTAAAGAGGACCTATGAGTTGGACAGTCACAGAACTTCTCTGTGTTTTTCTAGTAAAGTGAAGATACATGCATGCCTACACAGAATCCTGTGAAAAGAACAGTGTATTGTTCTTCTAGCCACCTTCCTTTCTTGGGATTTTTGCATATCAAACCTCTCTTTTTCCCCCTCATAAATGTTTTTGTAATACAAAGGTTGCAGAGGGCCCGACCCTCACAATAGCCTTATATAATTTTAAATTGATGACAAAGAAGATTAGAGAGCCTCATCTCTGAACTAATATAGTACCTTGACAGTGAAGGAAAAGAGATCAATTTACCATAAAATGTATTTTCTTTTGTTGCCACTAAAACTTTGAAAAATCACCTAAATATTAAAATATTATCTTGAATAATGCACACCGTTAATATAGCAAACCACCATAACTCTGGTAAGGCTATTTAAATTAAAATTACAAATTTCAAGTTATTTTCCAAAAAATTCACCAATTAAAATAGCATTTTAAATGTAATCAACAAGTTCATGTTTAAGGTTGTTTTCTAATTAATGACAACTAAACCCCTAGTAGTACACTTGGTCCCAAGTAGAAATATCTGTGTTAAATAAAGTAGCACATGTACCAGAGACCATGTGATTTAAAAAAAAAAAATCTTAGCCCTAGCTGGTGTGGCTCAATGGATTGAGCATTGTCCTGTGAACCAAAGGGCCACTGGTTCGATTTCCAGTGTAGGGCACATGCCTGGGTTGTGGGCCAGGTACCCAGTATGGGGCACATGAGAGGAAACCACATACTGATGTTTCTCTCCCTCTCTTCCTCTCTCCCTTCCCCTCTTTATAAATAAATAAATAAAATATTATTTTAAAAAATCTTATTTTAGAATAGATTCAGATCTACAGAGAAATCACAAATACAGTATAAAGAATATTTTATTTTAGATTACTGTTTTCAAATATTTTATTTTCTTTTTTTAGAGTGAAAGGAGAAACAGAGGGAGAGAAACGTGGATGTGAGAGTGAGAGAATCATCAAACTGCTGTCTCTCGTTTGTGCCACATGTGTTGGACCAGGGGCTGAACCTGCTACCCAGGCATCTGCCCTGTGACCTTTTGCTTTATGTGACAATGCCCAACCAATTCAGCCACACAGGTCAGGGCAGAATCATTTGATTTTTAAAATTCAACCTCCTTGATCATGAAGGGGCTACTATCAGCACAATATCATCCTTCCCGTGTATCAGAGCCAATTTTATCAGCTAAGAAGGAGAGTCAAGTCTCTCCTGCAGCTAGAGTAACAGATACCTCAATCCAACCTGATTTCATCTAAGTCCTCTGTCTCCTTTACAAGCAACCCAATCCTAAAATGTCATTGCTAACAACTTTCCCAACTTCACTTTTCGTGAATAGAGGAGGGAAAGGGAAAAGGACAAAGAAAAATTAAAGAAAGAAGACAATTTCCAGACTTTGAAAAAATAGAACGCATTTATTTATTTCCCTTTCATAAATAAATGACATCAATTACACCCTGGATCCAGCTTAAGAAACTTCAACTCTGAAATAGTTTAAAAAAAAACAAACATACCTCAAAATTTCCTAGGAGACTAAGACTTGTTATAGGTGGAGCACTAGAACTCAGAAATGGTTTTTCATGAATTTCTGGATCATCTTCAATGTTTAAACATGGCCGGGGGCTAATAAAAAAATAAAATCAACAAATGGACATATTAACTACAATATTTTCTTTTACTTTTGCACTAAATTAAGATAATCTGATTCATTTTACTTAAACTACCGTAATAAAAATTAATCTAAACAAATTTTAAGATATAAAATATTTAGTTTAATATTCTTGATTAGATTTTATAATCATTGTTAAAGAATTATATTTGATAAAGAAAATACATGTAACATCTAGGAAGGTTTCATGGTGGAATTTATAATATACCACATGGTGGTATCTACTACTGGAAACATATAATGATTTAGTTTCCTATATCAGTCTTCACTTTCAGTTAAAAATGAGAATACGAAGCAAAATTATGTGACTAAAGAATGACAGTATTATATATCAATGTGGAACAAATGCTGAGGCTTTTTTTTCAAAGGGGTATAGGGCAAAAGAGAAGGTGAGTGACCAGAAATATATAAACCTGCCTAAATGTTAAAACCAATGTTAAGGGTTTGTGTGTTATGATGACAATATGTAGTATTAATTTCTCCCTAATTCATCCTTAATAGCTGAATGTGTGCAAGAAAACATTGAAAACGGAAACCAATTGGAAAATAAGATTCCTGTAAAAATTTTTATATTTAGAGCCAACATTTATTATAAAAGGTCAGAATTTTGTGTAATACTATTTCATGTACACAAATAAATTTTAAGATAAATACCTTTTAGATGATAAGCTTTTCAGATGCAGTAATGAAGAATCCAAATCAAAGCAACCTGATTGTGTCTTTCTTTGAGGAACCTAAAGTCAAAATAATCATTTGCAAAATTTATAAAGACTAATTTTTTCTTGAATTGATACAATACTTTCTCAAATGAAAGCTAATTGTATCTTAAAAATAATAAACTTTTCCTCTAACAGCTTACTTAAAATCATGTTATTTATTACATATTGTTTTAATGTTCTTATTTTATTAACTAGTATGGAAAAAACAGGATTAATAAAGGCACTTTTACTAGGTTTGGATTTTTTTTAAAAAGCAAACCCAGTTTTTTCTAAACCCAAATCTTACATAGAATCCCAATATATAGTAAGAAGTTTTTACTTTATATACTTGCATATTTTGGGAGCAGAAATATAAGATATATAACTTTAAAATAAAAAGGAAAAATAGAATTAAATGGCAATGGGAGCCTGGGGTCCAACCAGCTGTGTTGCCCCTTTGCCCATCCCTACTACACTACACATTTCCAAGAACCCTGGGGCTTCACAACCAGTAGATTTGAAAAATACTACACTCTTGAGTTTGAAGAACCAAATTATATTTAGGACAAACCACCATCTAGCTCAAATATCCTAAATATGAAAAATCCAAGTGTAAATTAAGGTAAAACCATATACAACATGCAAATTAGGCAGATGTCTCCAGAATTAAATATTAAGTACGTATATAAGTAACTTGAGTGATTAGTATAAGTGGTGACTAAGAAAAAACAGATGCTACTGAAAGTCTAAATATCCTCAATATTTTTGAGAGTTATGTAAGTACACCATGCTATTTTTTGTAGTTGGCACTAACTATGACATTTTCTATGTAAACTCTTCTTCTTCAAGTCTGCAAAAGTCTCTACCTTGATTTCTTCTAATACTGCATTTTCCTTATTGCATCTAGTCCTCCTTTTGGCATTTCTACTAGGCTTAGACTAAGCACCACATTTCATCCTCCATGGCTCTTGCATATTTTACCATCTTGCTCCCTTTCTGAACATTATTCTAAGTGCTTTCTTAATATCTGTCTAATCCATTCACTACATCTCTAGTCAGGTAATTCTAGTCTATTTAATCCATCTATATGTGTATGTACATTGTGTGTATACTTCAATTATAACATTTTCACATTTAGAATTCCTATTTAGTTTTTTTACAAATCCACATGTTCTTTCATCTTAAATCTCCTGTCTTTCATTTATATCTTAGAACATTTTAAACAAATTATTTTTTACTTGCTTTCAGGTTTCTCTGACAACAGAATTACTAAATGTGAATTCTCCCACTTCTTGCTCCTGATTCTTTAAAGTGCTTTGTAATGTTTTTCCTCTGAGATTATCTTCAGCAAGAGTTATTTTCCATGAAAATAAATCCTTGGTGCTGTGGGTTTTAGATGTGAGATAGTTTCATGGCTCTTCTGCTGGGACTCAATGGATTTCACAGGTTTCAACTTAGTTTATGGTTATTTCTTAGCTAGATGTTTCTGAACCTCATAGCACAAATTCAGAATTCCTGTCATGGGTAGCTTAGGTTTAAGTCAAAATTCTTTTAGGGGCTCTTTTCCCACCCACTCTATACCTCCCTGTTGTACCCTTAAGTAAATAGGTGAATTTTTCCCTCCTATCCCACTTCTATAAGGGTAGTTTGCCCATTTCTAGTTTTATGAAAAGTTTGGTTTTTAGGTCCCAACTGTGACTGGAGCAGACTTGCAGCCTTGACTCCTATTCCAGCAGGAGCATTAAACCCTAGTACAGTCTTAAGATCAGATATTCTACCTAGCAGGCCATAATTTGCCCAAATTAGTATTCAGAGGTTTATCTTTCTTGCTCTTACACTATGTTATGTATTTACAAGTTGTTATGTTTTATCCAGGATTTCTATGTTTTCTATGGGAAGAAGAAGGGGGTTTTCTGTTATCAGCTCAATCCTCCATACTAAAAAGAAGTCTATAATGTTTTTTACATCAGAATGATGCTGATAAATGATATGCAAACATTTTAGATATCTTCAAGTTCTAAATATGGGATAAGAGAAAAAAATACTTACAGGACTTGAAAGAAGAGGCAATCCAGTCCGAGGATGAAAGGCTCTGGTTGAGGTTCCATCTAAGGAATGAAAATTATGTTTCCGCCAGACATTTGAATGTTTCAGCGGTACAGTCCTCTGCTGGGAAAAGAATTCGAATTAATAGTAATATGTTTTTAGTCTTAAACTTATTTCTTTTTTATTGTATTTTTTTCCATTGCCATTTATCCTCCTTATACCCTCTTCTACCTACACCCATCCCCCCTTAGACTTAATTCTAATATGTACTGAGGTATTACATTCTTGGTGGTAAAGCTAATGATCTATATATCTATATCTCTACACCCGCCCTCCACATACACACACATATACTGGGAAAAAAAAAAAGCTTTTTTCTGAGATGCTGAATAAACTCAAGTATTCTAAAGAAAGTATGTTCAAATATCTTAACAAAATATGGTCATATACTCAAATTCTAGCATCTAGTTAGCTAATAGTTCTTTTCATTTGTAAAGAAAAATGTACTGACAGGTACAAAAAATAGCATAATATCCTATAATATAAAACTATGTCAATGTACAGAAGCTTATCAGAGGATATAGTTTGGTGGGGGCATGATACAGCAATATAATAAACATGATTTAAAAATATATCTAATGCGGTCACAGTACCATATTTTTGAAGTGATACAGAAAATAGGCTAATTCTTAAAAATGCAGGTAAATTTATACCCAAGGATCAGAAATTCAAAAAAACACATGAATAAAAATCAGAAGTCTAATTTGGATCCTAGCTCTACCACTTACTAGCTTTATGACCTCGGGCAAGTTACTTAACTTCCCTGGGCCTAGGTCTCTCGTTTGTAAACTGGAGTTTATAATAGAACATAATACCTCATAGTGAAGTGGAAGAATTAAGCAAGCCAACATGCGTAAAATACTCAGAAGAGTGCCTGAGCACATAGTAAATGCTGTATGATTAAATTTTAACAAGTTGTATGAAAAAAATGAATCTTAGTGTCTGAAAAATACCATGGTCAATGTGAGCCTCCCTATTAGGTTCCAGAAAGGATCATGAAAACTGATATTCTTAAGGCCAGGATAGGTTTTTGTGACAAAATTATAATTTTAAGAAATTAGAAACTACTATTTGATTAAAGCCATATGTTATAGAGATGAGATCTTCTGCTAAAAAAATATAAATTGGAAACCTGACACGACTTAAAAAAATCTCATGTCCAGCAAAACAAATATAAGTAATAGAGAAGATAAACTAAGGTCATTCAGGTTTGAATAAAGTTTTTCATGTTATAAAAATACAAATTTGTGAAATTACTTTGAGAAATACATAAAATTTGAGCCTAATAACAATGTTCTAAAGTTAAAAAGTGGTTTGGTGAAAAGTCAAATAAAATGGAAATAAATCTTTTATTTATGTAGTGCATTATAGGTTTACAAAATATTTTAAAATATATTGTTTGATTGTTACCACAACTCTGAGATAGGCAAAAGAGACTTATCATTCTTATTTTAAAATTAAGGAGTCTGAGCTTCTGGTCAAGATGGCGGCAGTGGTAAATTAGAATTGCCTCCTCACACAACCACATCAAAATTACAGCTAAAATACAGAACAACCATCACTCAGAATCATCATAAATCGAGTTGAATGGAAGTATGACAAATAAAGAACTAAATAAATCTCATCCATCCAGATTGGCAGAAGGGACAGAGACACGGAACAGGCTGGTCACGCACCTGCGTGTGGTGGATAAAAATTCAGGAGGGTTATCTCAGGAGCAAGGAGTCCTAGCCCCACACCAGGACCTCCAGCCCAGGGTTACAGTGCCAGGAAGATTAAGTCCCCATAACCTCTGGCTGCAAAGAACAGCAGGGGTTGAGCTGCTGAAAGAAGCTTCTGGAGTGCCAAGCAGTTGCCCCTAAAAAACCCACACACGGACTTATGCAGGTTCACTACGTCTGAGCTCCAGCACCAAGGTAGCATCTTGAAAGGCACCAGTGGCATACAGGGAGGAAGTGAAGTGTCTGGCATCAAGGTGAGAGCTGGGGGACAGCTTTCTCTCAGACAGAAAGGTGGGCAGAGGCCACTGTCTCTTTTATGAACCTCCCCCCCCCCCCCCCCGCACAGAACAACAGAGCTGCTGGGCCAATGCTGTATCTGAGAATCCATCAACTTGGTTAATACTGTTTACCCTGCCCTGGAGACCCCCTGAGACTCCTTCCCACCCAAATAATGGGCCAACCCAAGCTGTTTTCCATACGAATGGTTGATCTTGATTCATGCTTCACAGTTTCCTAAATCCTCTCAAACAAGCACCGGCTGTCTCAGTGAGCCCCTAGTCCCAGTACCTCTAGCTAAGTGGCCCCAGCCCCAGCACTAGCAGCAGGCAGCCTAGGTTCACAGCTTGGCTTTGCCTGGGAATCTCCAAGCCCAGCACAATAGCTGCCATCTCAGACTGCTTCATAGCTCAGGCAGGGTGGTTCACGGCAAAACATAGGTATGGACTGACCGTGGCCTGCATCACCTTGGAAACCCAGAGCCTATGACCCAGTGGACAGCTACAGACCACGATGGGTTATCACCACCTTGCCCACTGCACAACTGATCCTCCAAGGAGGATGGAGGTTGGTAGTCAGTGGTCACAGCCAGTCCTTGCAGCTGACTGGCCTGGGTAAATCCCTCTCATTGTCTTGGTAACATCAATCAAGGCCCAACTACATGAGGAGGGTGTACTCAGTCCATACAAAAAGCACACCTTAAGTACCCAGCTTGGGTAATGGGGAGGCTGTGCCACTGGGTCCTATAAGACACTACAGAGGACACACTACCAAGACAGGGAATCACAGCAGCTCTACCTAATAGAAACAAACACAGGGAGGTTGCCAAAATGAGGAGACAAAGAAACATGGCCCAAAAGAAAGAACAGAACAAAACTTTAGGAAAAGAACTAAACAAAATGGAGATAAGCAATCTATCAGATATACAGTTCAAAATACTTGTTATAAGGATGCTCAAGAAACTTAGTGAGGACCTCAACAGAATAAAAAAGATCCAGTCAGAAATGAAGGTTCACTAATTGAAATAGAGAACAATTTACAGGGAAACAACAGTAGAGTGAATGAAGTCAAAGAATCAAATCAATTATTTGGAACACAGGGAAGCAAAAAACAATCGGAACAGAAAGGAGAACCCCTTCCCCCCAAAAAGAGTGAGGATAGTGTAGGCAGCCTCTGGGACAACCTCAACCTATCCAACATTTGCATCACAGGGGTGCCAGAAGAAAAGAGCATGAAATTGGAAATTTATTTGAAAAGATAATGAAAGAAAATTTCCCTAATTTGGTGAAGGAAATAGACATGCAAGTCCAAGAAGCACAGAGATCCCAAACAAGATGGACACAAAGAGGCCCACTCCAAGACACATCATTATTAAAAGGCCAAAGGTTAAAGATAGAGAATCTTAAAAGCAGCAAGAGAAAAGAAGTTAGTTACCTATAGAGGAGTTCCTATAAGACTGTCAGCTGATTTCTCAAAAGAAACTTTGCAGGCTAGAAGGGACTGGCAAGAAATATTCAGTCATGAAAAGCAGGCACCTATAGCCAAGATTGCTCTACCCAGCAAAGCTATCATTTAGAATCAAAGCGCAGATAAAGAGCTTCCAAGACAAGAAAAAAAATTAAGGAATCCATCATCAAACCATTATTATATGAAATGTTAAGGGGACTTATTTGAGAAAAAGAAGATAAAAACTATGAACAATAAAATGGTAATAAATACATATCAGCAATTGAATCTAAAAAACAAACTAAGCAAACAAGAACAAAGTCAGAATCATGGATATGGAGGGTTTTGAGGGTTGCCATATGGGAGGGGGATGTGGGGGAATGGGTGGAGAGGGGATTTAGAAGTAGAAAGAGGTAGTTATAGAATATCCAGGGGGATGTAAAGTAAAGTACAGGAATTGGAGTAGCCAAATAACTTATATGCATGACCCAGGGACATGAACAATGGTGTGGGCATTGCCTGAGGGAGTGGGGGATGCTTTATGGAGGGGAGCAAAGAGGGAAAATTAGGACAACTGTAGTAGCATAATTAATAAAATATAATTAAAAAACTAAAATTAAGGTGTCTGAGGTTTTTAGAAGTTATGTGACTTATTCAGGGTCACTCAAGGACCAACTGTGAAGTCAAGAATGGAACCCAGGTATTTTGACCAAGAGCCTAGTTATTTCACTATAGATATTCCTAAAATCCTTATCTGAGCAGTGGCGTAACACAATGGGTACACTGCCAGAACAACTAATAATACATTAAATTAAAATAAATTTTACTTCTGACTGTGATTTACTCTCCAGCAATTGTTCATAAAACTGAAATAAACAAAAAATGGCAACAGGAAGAATTTACCTAGCATTTGCTCTTAAGTGAGTGGGCTATTTCCAAGGATATTAATACTAGTTCAAGAGCAGGTTTATTGTATCAGACTGCATGTTCTATAAATAATGGGCACCTAGAGCCTTAATAACTAAACTTCCTGTAAACAAAATTCAAACTATAACAGGTGTTTAAGAATTATATTTGGAATACATTACTTACCAACACCTCTGTATTTTTCAGTCGTTCACATGTAGATAAACAGTCTTTTATGCTCTCTCTCTGAGAACACTTCTGAAATCTTTCATCAATTGGATCTTCTTTCTTATCCTGTTCATTTTTTAATTGGCCTGGCTTTTTGCATTTGAAACCTTCATTGTCTTTATTGAGATAATTTTCTATGCTATTAAGTTGCATATTTTGCTCACACGTTGTAGGCCTTTTGGAGTCTTTATTTGAACAGTTGCTTTCATGTTTGTTCAAATATCCAGACACTTCCAATGTAGTAATTTTTATTTTTGAGTCATTAGTTTTGGAATTATCAAATTGGTGATTGTTAAAAGATTCTGGATTACAATTTTCATTTTTTATTGTTTTTTCCTTAAAATTATCTGTGCAAATCTGTTTGTCAATACTGTTGCAATTTGAATACCGTTTATCATTTCCATTGATAATTTCTTGCTCTTTAAATTGACACTCAGAGAGAGTATTTTCCAATCTGATTGTCAAATCTAAGTTATTTTCTTTGCAATGAGACATATCTGAGGGAGCCAATAAGCTACTGGCTCTGTTCTGTATGCTTTGAAATGTACTTTGGATGACTTCACTAGGATTGTCCTGGTACAAATTTCTTCTTATTTGAGGTTTCAAAGAGGACTTGACTTTACTATTGCATTTAAAAGGACTAAAATATTTAGTATGTATTAAGTTTTCCCCTTCACTGCAGTCTTCTAATAAGGAAAGTTTTGTATTAGAAATGGAAACAGAAGTGTCACCCTTGTTTTTCTTCAGCAAATTTTTGTCTTCATATGAACTCCTAAACACTTTAGAAGGAACCAAAGTCGAGTCACGCATGTTGAATGATTGTGAGGGCATATGTGACGCTGTTGGATCTATATGCTCCAAGTGCTGAGCAATCCTTGCAATAACATCTTGCCGCTCCTGGAGTAATGAGCCTATTAAAGGGTTAGTCTCACCAACAGACCGATGAGAATAAAAACGATTAGAAGTGCAAGTTTCACTTCGGGGAATTTCTGGTTTTACTCGGATTTTCCCCTCATTGGTATCTTCTGAGGATGCAAGCTCTGGACTACCAAATGAAATAGAGAAAGTTTCTTTGAGTTTCCTCACATTTTCATTTTCTTGTGAAACCCGGAAAAGTTTTGAATTCAGTGAACTAGAGTCTTGGGTATTAAATGCATGTCCAGAAACATGTGAGCTGCTTGGATCACAATGAATCAAATGCTGAGCAATTCTTGCAATAACTTCTTGTCGATCCTGAATTAAAGAGTCTATTAAAGGATTAGTCTCACCAACTGACTGCCAGGAACTCTGATGACTACAGACACTGGAATCAATCATTGAAAATGATTTTAAAGTTCTTACTGATGTTTCATGTGACTTTTTATCTCCTTTACCACCGAAGCCCAGAATGTTGGCTTGACAAGTTCCATAGTCAGATTGTCTGCCAGTGCCTGGATGTAGTTTGCCATTTTTGACAGCTGCAGTATATTCTGGAGGTGTGCCATTTTTTGCATGCAATACGCTTTCGGGTGCCATGGTCCAAGTTTGTTTGCTACACAGACGCTGTAAACTGTTTGTACTACACTGTTCTGCTTCATTAGAATTGCGATGCTGATGGGCCTTTAGTTCATGTTCTTGAATTTTTTTCTCATAAAGGCCAATATTACTGTGAATACTACATGTCAAAACTGGGTAATTAGATTGTCTGGGCAAGGACTGAACGCTGACTTTCAAGGCCACATTGTGAGAGACATTGGGAACAGGAAACACATGTTCAATTGGAGTCTGTGAAAAATTCCACTGTAGGTCTACATCAGCAGCACTGATTCTAGAATTACAGAGCAAAATATGGAATCAATGGGTTATAAAATATGTATCATTCCTGTATATTATTTTTAAAAATTTTAAACAGTCATAGCCTTATCTTTGCATTAATTACTATTGAGATTTTACTTTTAGCTATTTTGCTATGCAAGTTATTCTGATAATACCAACATATGAAGTCTAACAGATTATGATCTTTTTAAGAACCCTAAAACATGTAAGCATTAAAACTCAAGAATATTATAATTTCAAAGTACTTGTCAAAACAGAATAAAAGGACTTTGTACTTGCCACTAAATAAATGGATTCAGCAAATTCTGTTGTGGAAGGTGACTAAGAAATAGCTATCTCATGGCCACCTACCTAAAGAGACATTTAGATAGGTCAGCAGTTTGTATGTGTATAGTTATTAAAATGTCAAAAATTAAGTCTACCATTATGGAAATTCAGCAGCCTAAAAAGTTTTTCTACTTTATTTATTATGGCAGCACTAAGTCCATTGTTGGTTCTATAAAGTAAGCATACAAGTTCTCTGAAAACTATTCCACACTAAATTTAAATCAAGAAATAAAATTCATACTTACTCACATCTACATTTTTCTAACTTGTTTTGAGAAAAATGTGAGTAAATCTTATCTCCTTATATGTAGAAATGAAGGAAATATACTTAAAAGGTAAAATATCATTCAGTAGCTAACCAATGTAGTTGAATATGTAGTCCTTTTTGTGCCTACACATACCTGTAAAGAATATTTCGTGGAATAGCACCATGAGAAACACTCAGCCAAGCACTCAACTGAGAAAAAAACACAAATGAACGGACAGCCAATAGAAGAGTCTTCTCTTCAATAAATCGATCGCCATTTCTAAGGAAAGTAAAAAAAAAAAAAAAAGAGAGAGAGAGAGAGAGAAAGAAAGAATCATCTAAATACCAGCAAGTACAAAATGCCTGAATTTTAGAAAGATAGAAACTGAAATGAATGTATCACTTAGGATATCTACTTTTAACAGTGTAGGAATGGATTTACCAGTGTCACTTAAAGTCTTATCAGTACTAAATATCTAGATTTTACTACATAAATAAAGGGATTCTAAAATAGGATATATTATTAAAATAATTTATAAAAAGTTGTGGAAAACCAGATTTACCAAGAACAACTTCAAACTCAGTTCTACAACTTACTGTCGAGGAACTGGCTCCAATACCCATCTTTCTAATAATAATGCATCTTGCTTAATTGCAGGATCGTTGAGATCAATCCCATCTGTGGTGGGTCCATCATCGCTGTAGCAGCAGTCTGGCAGGAGCATAACTTCTACCATGATTGGAAGGTTATTCTTCCACAACAATGCGACCTCAGACCTGGTTCGTCTGGCTTGGCGACACTTAAGAGAAAATGAATATAAGTAAAATGTCTCAATAACCCCCACAATTTTATATTTTAATTTGAAAATTATAATGGTAAAGTACACACTGTACGAGAAATGAGTCATCAGTTGTAGAACTTGCTTAGACTCCTCCATTTACAAGTAGGTTTCCTCATTAAACAATGAATTCACAGTGAATTCTTAAGTGCAAGGATTAGTATTAAACAACACTTACGATGTGTTGACTAACTTTCTTGGGCAGTTATCTCTGCTCTATGGCAAGGTGGCCCAGCCTTGCCTAGTTTGTTAATTACATCATCATTACAGAGGAGATTCATTTTAAGTGAAGACCAAAATATTAAAAAAACTCCTTTTCATTAAATGCTCACCATATACAAGATTTTGAAAGTTTACAATTTTAGACTATATTTAAGAAACTAACTGGGAGAAATATCCTTACCAAAGTATTTTTAACAGTATTTTATACAAAAATATTAGGATGATAGAAAAAAAGGTATCCTCAAGAGGAATATAGAGGGAAATTGGTTAATGTGGGGAAAATAATTATTAACATCAATCTATTAAACAAGAACATAAGGTCGATGAACCAGGGCTGAGATTCTAAAAATTAGGAAAGCTGAATTACAGCAGCAAATATAATCTTATATCTGGTGTGTAAAAAGGCAGGTATGAAATTGTCTGCCCACTAGTCTGGTGATTAGTGAAACTACCTGCTGTGCCTTCAAGAGCCTTGTTTAAGAGCCAAGGTTATGGGCTATAGTCCAGGATTAGGATTTTTTTCTTTATGGCTGAGACTGATTTTATATTTAAATGTGGATATTATAATTGCAGTGTAACAAAGGTGATGACAGAATTTATATAGTTTACATAAAAAATAAACAGAAAGTATTCATCACACAATTCTTACCTGGGCCAGCTTGTCACTACATTCATGTTTGGTAGTTACTGGGTAACAGGACTGTGCTGGAGGGCAATGGAAACTTTCTGAGCGACCTTTTACAGAACATTCAGGTGTTCGTCCTTCTGTTATTAACAAGGCCAAAGAGATCAAGAACTCCTCTGCATCGTATTCAAAATATTCATCTAGAGTATCTGGTATTAAAAAAAAGAAAGAAGAATCTTCACTTTAATGTATTCTTGATAAGAAACTCATCGTTTATGCCTAAAATAACTGTCACATTCCATATTCAAGAATACTCGCTAACAAAGAATGAAAAGAGAATAAAAATGAGGCAATTAAAATATGGTAAACTCTTGATTCAAAAGGTACACAGAGTCAGGAGATGATGAATAATACAACATCCCAGTTAAGACAAAGCTGGTAAAAATTATGACATCAATTGGTTTTATGTAAGCTTCAGTTAAAATACTGAATATTTTAGGAAGACATTTTTAAGTCTCTAAATAATTATGTTTTTGGATGTCAAGTACAACAATTTTCACACACAAAAGTTCACCAATAGCCAAAGGTTAAAATGTTTTCATCATATTTTTTTAAGATGTCTTATTACCATTATTAAATACTAGAAAAAGACGCAGATCCAAGTGCAGATTTCTTCCCTTTTCTTCCTTCTCCCTTCCTTAACTAGTTCCTTGTTCTTGCAGCCCCAATTCTATGATGTGATCATTTGTAGCCTTTCCTATATAGTAGTAGTAGTTTCAGAGGGAGAAATGCTATAATTATCCAGCAGGAGATGCAGGCCTGAATTGCAATATATGAATTGTGATTTTTTATTTTTATTACTATGCTGTTCCAAACAATCTAACCTGCAGATATTTTTACTTATGTGCGGTAATTTTAAAATTTCTCACAAGTGCTTTAATTTTTTAAACAATTTATTTTCAAAAACTGTACATGCCTCACAGGTTGAATATGCATACACATATACACACAAAATTCAATTTGTTGTACTATCCAATTAAATAACACATTTAAAAAAAATTCTTGCCTGAGGATATGTTTATTGATTTGAGACACACACACACACACACACACACACACACACGTAGCGAGAGAGAAGGAAAGAGAAAAAGGGAGTCAATAAGTTAGAGAGAGGGAAGACCTGGATGTGAGAGAGAAATATCTGTCAGTTGTCTCCCGTACATGCCCCGACTGAGGATCAAACCCAGAACCGAGGTATGTGCCCTGACTGGGAATTGAATCTGCAACCTGTTGGTGTACAGGATTACGCTCCAACCAAGCCACCTGGCCAGGGCAAAGCAACACATAACTTTAAGTACCTACCACACTGTATTAGGTCACAGAGGGACACAGAGTTATATTTTACATATCTCCTCATCTCAAAGACTTTATGATTCAGAGATGATATTAAAAACAAATAGCACACTGTAACATTTAATATATTCCAAAGAAATTCAGAAAACAGTGGTAAAATTTTGCAGAAGATGTAGTTCTTGAGCAGAACCATGAGAGAGAAAGTGCAACATGAGTAGAAAATTTGTAGAGAAAATGTAGAAAAGACAGGACTGGAGCTAGACAGTAAACAGCCTTGAAAGGTATGATGAAGAATGCCTATTCAAGAAGGTTTATCAGGAAAAGAAGGAGCCTTGAAAGCCACCTTTATTTGGAAAAGTTTCCCTAAATAGACCATTTGTAACACATAAAATAAAAGCTAACAGTAATATTGTCAAGGCATTGCCAGTTTTAAGTACTTGCTATATAATAACTTCATTTAGTTTTTGGAAGGGCTCTAGAAGGTGAGGACTCTTACTACCATTTTACAGAAAACTGAAGCATAGAGAGGTTAAGTAACCTGTGTAAGATCACTGAGCTAAGAGATAGCAAAACTGAAATTTCAACCTATACAATCTGGCTCTAGAATCTGGGTTCTTAACCACCCCATACATGTCTTCTTTCATTGTGGCTATAAATTTTGCTTTTACATACTTTAATATTATGTTTATAAAATAATGAAAATAATATGTATTTGACATATATTTTAATAATATGTTTTGGAATATTTATGGTATAGAATTAGTTTCCAGAAATAGCACTCTGATTTATAATAGTGTCAAAGGGGTGGGCGGGGGGAGAGGTCTCAACTTTCAACTCTCCTCCAGGAACCAATGTGTCCATAAATCAAGGGTTTTCTGTGTTCTCCTGGGACTCACTGAATTAATCACATCCTTCAGAGGGGTGGCAAAAGATATAAAAAAGGATTCCACTCAGTCTCTTCCTCTGGGGGTTCTGCAGGTTTTCAAGGCTAGCTCAGGCTTGCCATGGGCTACGTGTGATGATTTCAGCTCCTGGGATATTTCTCTGGGCTCATCCTGTTCTTCCCCTCAGCTTGTGGGACAATCTCAGAGAGCTAAAAACCATGGCAGAGCAGTGGCTCCTGCTCATGGAATGCTGAGTGATGCCAAGCTGTTAGCTACTCTGTGTGAGTGCTAGGGATGGCCCACAGCCTAAGTAATGTCTCATATTTATGTGATACTTAAAACAAACAAACAAAAAACCAAAACAACAAACAAAAAAACCCTTGGCATTTCTACGACAGAAAAAAACCACCAGGTCAGATTAGGAAGGGGGAAAGGGCATGCAAAAAAAAAAAGGAGTATGAGAAAGTGTTTTTGTTGTCTTTTGGGCTACCTGGACTCCATCACTTGTTATCCCTATGCCTGCAAAATTGTAATTCATTTCCAAAAGCCTAGCAAGAATGACTCACTTATACACTAGGAATCAAGTTTAAACTGATAACAACTGAACTGCTATGAAAAAGCACTTTTGCCCTGGCTGGTGTGGGTAAGTTGGCTGGGTGTCCTTTTGCAAACTGAAAAGTCGTGGGTTTGATTCTTGGTCACGGCACATGCTTGGGTTGCGGGTTTTGGCCCCATTTGGGGTGTGCACAAGAGGCATTTATGTTTCTCTCCCTCTCTTCCTTCCTCCCTTCCCATCTTTCTAAAATCAGTAAGAGAAAAAAGAAAAGAAAAAGGACTTTTAAATAATATAACTTTTGACTAAAATTTGGTCATTACTCAGGTGCTAAATAAACTAAGAAAACTCCAAAACCATGATCTGAGATTCTTTGGATTACTTATTTAACTTAGCTGGAGTAGTGAATACTTAAATGAAAAATCTGAAATAAAGATTAGAGATGACAATAGTTATTTATTAGTTATCTATGTAAATTACATAAGCATTGCAAGGAATAGTACAAATTATACAATGGCATCATGAAACACATAAAATACTCCTAACTGCATATGGCTATGTGATGACAACTTTTAGGAATTTGTCAGGAAAAATTAGGAATTTGTCAAGTGGGTGTCTGAATTTTAATAAATGAAAATACTAAATCACTGTAGTCATTGGAAAAGTTATACAGTTAAAATTTTGATAATGTCAACCTCTAAAACACCAGAGAGCAGAGTTTACTGTAGTAAAGAATATGACTAGTAACTGGGAAATATGTCATGCTAAAGAAAATTCAGTAGGTATAACTTGACATTTTGATACGTAACTTACTCCAGAAACAAGTTATGGTTTTAGAGTCTCAAAAACAAATTACATTTACAAAAACAAGAAGTGTTTCAAATATAGACAAATGTTGTTAATGTTAGCTACTCGTTACACATTTTACAACAGATAAATTATTTGATGTAAAATACATCATTGAAGAAAACAGAAAGAATATTATAAGTTTTCACAGGCTATGAAAGACAGATCATTGGAGACTGAGAATTAATCAATCAAAACATAGTTCCATAGTCCTTCCTTCCTCAGTGAGGACTGTGCTTACACCAGTTTGACTGGGAGCCATGACTGGATTGGCTGGGGTTTTTTTCGCAGCATGCTCTTCTAGCTCTGGAATTTAGCCATATTCTTAAAGGTCCTCATTTTTTCTGTCCAACAGAAAAGGTGAACAATTTGGCCACTGGAAAAACTTTGGACTATCAGACTGAGCCACGGATGAAACGACTAATTTGGGAAGTAAACTCTTCATCATGGGTGTTCAAGGACAGGTTGATAAGCAACTGCCAGGGTTGTCACTGAAGGGATTTTAAATGTTTATACCAGTTTTAAAAATTGGAATAAATTTAAATATCCAATAATATGTGACTGGCTAAATATATGTGGTAGAGTTACATGTAAAATAATCATATAAATCTACTTTTGACAAAGAGATCTACAATGTAAGAGAAAACACAATGTTTCATAAGAATGTTATGATCATGCATTTTGTGGGATCACATGGGTATATATGCACAGAAAGATATACACACAACAGAATATTATCAGTCCTATAAAGCAAACACACAAATGCATAAAATAAATTTTAAATAAATTACTATTCTCTGACTAGGATTAGATAAATGATAAGGCCTGTTAACTGAAAAATAATACATAAATAAAAGCATTACCTAGTGTCATATATTTTAATTAATTAGTTAATAGTTTGCAAAACTCCTACTAGGTAAGCCATAGCTTGGTTACTTAATATAGGAATTTGTGGCCTTCCTCTTTCAGCCTGTGGAGACCTGCTGGAAACAGGGCTTCTAAAACAACAAATATGTCTAGAAGGCTGTGGTCCAAGGCAATTTTTGCTGGCTATAAGCAGGGTCTCCGGAACCAGAGAGAGCACACAGCTCTTCTTAAAACTGAAGGTGTTTATGCACAAAATGTAATTGAATTCTGTCTGGGCAAGAGATTGTTTGCTTATGTGTACAAGGCAAAGAATGACACAGTGACTCCTGGTGGCAAACTGAACAAAACCAGAATAATCTTGGGAAAGGTAACCCATGTTCACGGAAACTGCGGCATGGTTCATGTTAAGTTCCATACAACCTTCCTGAAAAGGCCACTGGACACAGGATCTGTGAAATGCTGTACCCCTCAAGGATTTACTTATTGAAATGTAAATAAATGAAAGTGGATTTGCCAAATTGTAAAAAAAAAAAAAAAAAAAAAAAAAAAAAAGGAAGGAATTTGTGAAGACATTCATGGGGAACTGCATATTGGTTCTAGTGTGAGAAACATTTGTTTTGAAACATTTTTCCCCTTTATTTTTAAAAATAAACTTTTTTAAAAATTAGGTAAAAACTTGAATCTCCTACTGATGAGAAACATATGG